GTGTGTGAGTGAGTGTGTGTGTGAGTGAGTGTGTGAGTGAGTGAGTGAGTGTGTGTGTGTGTGAGTGAGTGTGTGAGTGAGTGTGTGTAAGAGGTATTATTAATGAAATAAAAAAATATATATATTAAAATAATAAAAAAAAATATATATATATATTGAAACAAAAAAAAAACAGAAACCTCTCATGGCTTGAAAGAGATTAATGGAAATAATAATAAAATATAAAACATGGTTTAAATACAATAAATAATATTATAATAGCAATAATAAAATAAATAATAAAATTAAAAGAGATAAAAAGCAACTCCCCCCAAATGGTTTAAAACAATAATAAATGAAATCTAAATTATGATTTAAAATAAACAAAATACAAAAAAAAAAAAAAATCGATAAAAAAAAAGAAAAACTAAGAAAAAAAGAAACCTGTAAATGTCTATAAAAACATGGCACTCAAACATCTCCACTATGGCTTAAAAAGATAATTAATTAAATATAAAAAGTAATAAAGTAAATTTAAAAACAATAAAATAAATTAAGCTAAATAAATGGCTTAGAAAAGGAAATAAAAGAGATAAAAATAAAATATAACATTATCTACCATTACTTAAAAAGATAATAATTAAATATAAAAATAGCAATGAAATAATAATGTAAAATATAAAAGCAAAATATAAAATAATTTCTCGAGGCTAAAATCTACAATTAATAGCAATAGTAAAATAAAACAAAAATACGAAAATATAAAAGCCTGCAAATATCCAAAAACATCGCACTAAAACATATACACCATGGCTTAAAGATTAATTACTTAATTAATGAAATATAAAAACAGTAATGAAAAAAAAATTATAATAATAATAAAGCAAAAATGAAAATAAATCTCTTATAGCTTAAAAAGTGGGGTGGGGAGGGGGTAAATAATAGCAATAATAAAATAAAACAAAAAAAGCACCTCCCCAGCGTAAAACAATAATAAATGAAATATATGGTATGGTTTAAAAACCATGCAAAGAGAGAATGCTGAAAGCGGACCTGTGAGAGTGATGCGCCAGGCTCAGGTGCCAGAGAGCGCGGCTCACGCTCTGACGCTCCGACGCTCCGTCTTCAGCCTCCGACGACAGATGCGCGAAATGCTCGGCCAGGAAGCCGACGGGGTCCTGCGGCCTGGACTCCAGCAGCCGGAGCAGAGCACCCCGGAGCAGCGCGCTGACCCCAGCCTGCGACAGCAGCTGCTCATCGCCCGCGGCTTTGGCAGATTTGGAGTCGGACATGATTGCGACACCGGCGCGACGCTTCTCCGCCATCGCGTTAAATCATCGTCCCGACCTTCAGCTGCGCGTTTGCGCATGAAAATATCATTTCGGTCACAGTTGCTATGGACACGTGATGATGCAGCAGGTCAGCTGACCAGCGTTTGTGCGCAGCTGCGGCTGACGCAGCCGGATGACGTCATTTTGTAGGCCAAACATTTCTGTAATTTTTTTATTTCTCGGTATCCATGAAGAGTTTGCTACTGTAATTGGTTTTATTTCTTTCGCTGTTGTGTCTTTGTATTCTACAGGTTCCTTTATTTCATCCTGTTGGGCCCTTAAAATGTAGGCTAATTTTTGTTAAACTTTTAAGAAATTGTTGTTAAATTAAATAAGGTTCATGATTTAATTAATTAGACATACTTTTTCATTGTTAACATTATTTTTTTGCAACCAGAAATTGTACCTCATATATATATATATATATATATTATTTATTGATTGATTGAAACCAGATATTGTACCTATGCAATGCAATACTATATATATATATATATATATATAATATGAATATATATAGATAGATATATATAATATATATTTGTTCAAGCATGTAAAAAAATCCTATTTGTTAATGTTTTTACTAATAATTTAATCTATTTAACAACTATACTAAGAAGTATAGTTGTTAAATCCATTAAATTAATTTATAATCACCTAACATACAAATGAAAAACCATCCCAGAATGACTCAAACTGATCATTTTTATTAAATCAATTCTTTTATGAGTGTCTCCACAACTGTATTTATACATTTGCCAAATGCAACAACAATGATCACTGTTCAAGAATGAATTCATTTAGTTTCTCAGTGCATTTCTGTACAAAACCTGGAAAAAGATTGCACGGCTGGGAATGCATAGATGAATATTTCATCCAGAGATACAGTACTGGCTAAACAAGAACAAGTAGTTAAGTACAAAAACTGAGCAAGGCTTCGCATAATAAAGCAACTGAGTTTGACTGAAACGGATTTAAAGCAGTAGTAAACGTGTAGCTAATCTTGGAGTGCTTGCAGGTTTTTTGCGACTGTGTGTCGAACCTTCTCATGACCGTTAATGTCAATGCATTTTACAGACTGATAGCTGTTGATATGCTCGAGCTTTCCGTTCATGAGGACGGGATGAAGGATGTGGTTTCCATCAGAGTGCATGAAGCTCCTCTTCATCTTGTGCTCCAGCTGCATGTGATTCTGCGGCGGCAGGCCGAGGCACGCTCTGCCGATTCAGAAACAAATACAGTTAACACCGCACAATCTCACGCAAGTGCTGTCAGAAAACTCATGCACGCTGCTGTCTGACCTCATGACGTTCTCGATGCACGCACGCTGGCGGAAGAAGGCGTTGACCACCGGCGCCCCCTGCGGGACGAGCGGCGCTTTGCAGAGGAAGCTGAGCAGCGAGAGGACGCTGTGAAAGCCCTGGAAAACCGGATCGTCCTGCGTGCAGAACGTGATTCTCTGACACAGCTCTGTCAGGATCACCAGATCCAGAATAATGGGACTGGCCAGCAGAGAGTCCTGGACACACGCAGACCACACACACATTATCATGATAGATGCATCATGCACACAAACTCTGACTGCTGCATGAACACTACTGATGAGGATACAAACATGATCAATATCAGATTCAAATCAATACTCACACACACACACAAAACCAACAGTGATGACATCTTCGTAATATTTGCATAAACTTTTAATAAATTGTTCAAGTTGAATTATTTAAATTTATTAGACATTCTTTTGGATTACTGACACTTAATCATTAAAACAGAATTAATAATAATAATAATAATAATAATAACGGGAAAAAATGTAATCACAAAAAAAAATGAAACAAAAAAAATTGGGAAAAAATAAAATGGATTTCATAGGGCCCTAAAAATTTTATTTTGGTTAAACTTTTAATAAATTGTTGTTAAATTGTATAAGATTCATAATTTCAGTTCATTAGACTTGCTTTTTCATTACTAACATTTAATTTAGCCATTAAGACAGAATCCAAAAAAAATTTAATTGGAGGGAAAAAACAGAATCCAGAAAAGAAAAAGAAAAAAAAGGGAATTCAGAAATATTAAACAACAACAACAAAAAATACAGAAAAGTAAAAAAACAAACCAAAAAAAAGGAATTCAGAAATATATTCGTGGGCGGGAATTAGACGCCCCTTTCTGCTGATTGGTCAGCCGACGATCAAACCGTGCCTTCATCAGTTCTTCCGCAGTATCACGCAACAGAATAATAGTCCTCCACTGCTGCAGTTGTTCGGATTAATAACCCATTTTATCAATTTCATATTTTTCTCATCAAACAGACTAATGAATAGCTCGACACAACTCGTACCGGGGCAGAGTCTAGACAGGTCTTTCTTCTGTG